TTACCATCAGTTGTAATGGTATCGAAAACATAAAAGTTTCCTTTCCTCATGACCACCATGTGTCGAGCATTCTCAAACGTGGCTAGCCTGTCTTTTTTCACCTCAGGTATGCGGGTTGAACAAAACAACCTTGCGTATTGACTCATATCTAAAGGAAAAGCCTTCACTAAAAACGCGCCATACCATGAAAGCTTCCGGGGAACAAACCTGCATGTGCCATAAACTGGTTATTAGTGTCATGAACAAAGCAACTGAACTTGAAATATTGCTATTGTTGCTTCGAAGTGGGCTCCACAACAAGCAGGTCGGTTGTCAAGAACAAAAATGTTTCCCTTAGCTGGGAACTAAACTTTTAGAAAATTCTGCGAAAAAAAAAATGTCTTATCAACCAACAAGACCGATGTCCAAACAATATTGTTCTAAGTGACCCTGTAAAAAACATTTGTTTTTGTTTTTTTTTTTTACTGCCTTTTTAGAGTTTTTCTTCCCCTTCCTCCTTCCCTTCCACACCGTAGATTAGTTTTTACTTTTTACCAAGTTACTGAACCCCTACCGAACCTCTAAACCCAGCGTGAGGGGCCGGGTGCTAGGGTTGGGGCTGGGTTTGGTGGGCGGGGCTCATGGCTGGGCATGTTTTTTCTACTGACCTGGGTTTGGGTCGGTAGTACCATTTGCAACCTACAACCCCGAACAGAATAGTTGGAACACTTAGTCGATTTCCCCTGAAAATCGCTCAAGCTTTCCCAAACTGCGCTTTTTAACACCACTGCATGTGGGCGAGGAGACTGTACTGCGCATGCCACAAAATCGGAAGTGTTCCAAGTTATTTTGACCAGGGTTGTAGGTCAGGGCATGACAAAAGTGCTGTCTGATTACTTGAGGCTAGTGGAACAACCCACGGTGCTAGCATACTAGTTAAATTACAAATCATTGTCCGAAAGTCAAGTAACAAAATACATGAAGGAGAAAAAGTGGATTGGTAGGTCTGCACAACTTCTCTGGGCTAGCAGGCTTTAGCAGCAGCTTTGCCAAAGGGCAAGCGATTTCATCTCACCCCTCAGGTGTTAACCACCGTAAATGGATTCAAATTGAAAAGCTGAAATTTATCCTAACTCTACAAAAATGCACTTGAAACGTCACCTTTTTCATCCCTTTACAGTGTAATGCACAACATATAGCAGACTGTGTATCCTAGTGGTCCTTAGATAATAAGGTTCAACTGAACAGCGAAAAGTGTAAAGAACTTAGAATCTCCTTCACTAAAAAGCAGTCTGAGTTCCATCCTATTCTTGTAAATGATGGTAACCAACTTGAAGCAATTAGAAGCGCAAAGCCGCTGGGTGTGATAATTACAAGCGTGGAAAGAGCACATTAACGAATATTACTGTAAAGAAGGCATCTAAACGTTTGTATTTCCTAGTTCAGCTTAAACAGGCAAAGCTTCCATGTAGGGACTTAGTCCTCTTTTATACCATATGTATAAGATCAATCCTATTTTATGCAGCGCCTGTTTTCTCAGGGGCACCCAACGAGAATATAGTTCAAAACCACTTAAACATAGCATTGTTAAACGTATTTTAGTATTTAAACGGTAGATATAGGCCTTTTTTTTATCCCCTAAAAATTCTTCATCTGTTCGGATTTTCTAGCTGAAAGCCTAGTGATCCGAAAATTATAGGGATCAAAACTTACCTTTTCGAAAATTTCACCTTAAAAAAGGCTCGCGAAATTCTAGGTGACCTTTTTAGGGTAAAAATCCGTTTAAAAGGTGCAATTATACCATTTTTTGGACGTTCGAAAATCCCAGAAGAGGCAGGCAAGCGAGAAAGTTTACAACAAATGTTCCTAAAATTCCAGATCTCAAAACGTCTTCCGAAGAGATATTTTCCGAAAATTGACGTTGGGTGCCCTTGTTTTCTTTTATGCTCTGCCCAAGTATTTACAGTAAATACGCATGGCTGCCCATGTATTTATTTTTAATAAACTATCTAACTATCTATCTAAGTATCTAATTGTTACTATGTATTTTGTACCTACCTGATAACATTTTTAAACCATTGTGTGTCACTTGTTTGTGGTTTTAAATGAAATACATCTGGTTCAAGGAGTGTTTCATCAAGTGACAGCTTGAATCTCATGGCAGATGTTATTATGTTAGTGGCTCTGACCACCTGTGAAAACACCAGTACATTAATAGAAATGCCATCAATAAGTTTCTCCAATTTTCCGATGTTTTTGTTTCGCCATTTTTACATTTCATTATGTAACAGTTAAACTAATAGCATTACAATACAGGCAGAACAAGAATAAAAACAAAATTACACAAATGATGATAGAGGGCAAAAAATTTTTTTTTAATTTTTTAATTTTATTTTTGTTATTCATTTATTTTTTTTTAGAGTGAAATGTGTACAGTGACCAAAGACACGTACATGCAGCTTCAGTTTTGCTTTGGTTGCATAAGAAACAAATGGTAAAAAAGAGCAAAATGGATATTATATAGATATGCAAATTCAATGCAACTCACTTGCACTTAGAAAATATTCAGTTGCCATAGCTGCTTAGAAATACGTATATTTTACACAAATCATTAGAACTTTTGAAAATGTCAGAAAATAAAAAAATGATACTAAACGAAATTTTGTAACTGANTTTTAAACCATTGTGTGTCACTTGTTTGTGGTTTTAAATGAAATACATCTGGTTCAAGGAGTGTTTCATCAAGTGACAGCTTGAATCTCATGGCAGATGTTATTATGTTAGTGGCTCTGACCACCTGTGAAAACACCAGTACATTAATAGAAATGCCATCAATAAGTTTCTCCAATTTTCCGATGTTTTTGTTTCGCCATTTTTACATTTCATTATGTAACAGTTAAACTAATAGCATTACAATACAGGCAGAACAAGAATAAAAACAAAATTACACAAATGATGATAGAGGGCAAAAAATTTTTTTTTAATTTTTTAATTTTATTTTTGTTATTCATTTATTTTTTTTTAGAGTGAAATGTGTACAGTGACCAAAGACACGTACATGCAGCTTCAGTTTTGCTTTGGTTGCATAAGAAACAAATGGTAAAAAAGAGCAAAATGGATATTATATAGATATGCAAATTCAATGCAACTCACTTGCACTTAGAAAATATTCAGTTGCCATAGCTGCTTAGAAATACGTATATTTTACACAAATCATTAGAACTTTTGAAAATGTCAGAAAATAAAAAAATGATACTAAACGAAATTTTGTAACTGAGTGAAAACAAATCAAGCAAATAAATTATTCCTAAATATCAGTGACATCACTTGACATCCTGTTCATTAAATGAGTAAAAGTGCATATTTACCAGTTTAAAGGTACAGCTAAAAGGTTTAGACTTGATTAAGCAGGTCACCCATAATAAAGTTACAGAGTCACTTAAACTTTAAACAGCAACAGAGCTCATTAATTAACACATTCACACCCCAAGGCCAATTGACATCTTACAAGAACCCAAGGAAAGATAATTACAGTATAATAAGAAAGAAGAATTTAGATTAGGTTTTAACACTTGGTTCTAAGTTAAAACTTAGTGATTATATTGGCCTTTGAACAATGGCGTAGGTCTCAGACACATATTGACCCCTTAGGAGTCCCAAAAACAAGACCCTTTATTATGTACATAGCAACCTGTCCATTCACTGTCAAGACATGTTACAGTACACTGTACCTGGTCATTATTTTCTGCTACTGGATCATCTTTAAACATCATAAAAGGATTATGGTTGAGGACTATGGAGTCTCTGTATGATAAATACATGTCATACCAGGGACCTGTAAAAAGAAATTGATTACATTACTGTACAGCACTGGTATTCTCCACGATAAAAAGGGTTTTTTGACAAGAATACCTGATATGTAACTAGTATGTTTGTTTCTCTTGTTTTTCTGTAAAAGTTCAGCATTTAGACCTGTGAAGAAAAATGCAAAATCAACGTCATACCTGTTATCTATCAGGGGATCTATGGCCACTATCACACCACAGTTGGATAATCCATCTAAACACATCAGTTAACCCGTTTCATAAACTTTCTGTCTTAAAGTGAATTTGAGACTGACAAAATTCTATCATCAGTGATTCAAATTATAGAAGGATTGATCACGTATTCAAAGTTTGAGTGCAGTTATCATTCCATTATACATGTAACACTTGCAGGTATACTTTTGGCAGAGAAATATATACGTAAGCATGAGAAAGAAGCCAACATTTGAAGGCATCACCACTGGTTTTCTTGCAAAATGACTTGATAAACAGTGCAGAAATTCCACACTAATGACATCACACTTCCCAGATCAGGGTAAAAAAGTGCTTCTGATTGGTCAATGCAATTACAATTTCTCATGCAGCACAAACAATCAGAGGCACTACTTAGATCTGGGTATGGATATGTAAATCAGTATGTAATAGAGAGGAGAAGTCATTACGTCATGTTGCCATGGTAGCAAAATTTTTGGATGACAACGAACCGAAAATTCACTTAAAAAGCAAATTCACAATGTTTTAAACTTCATCGATCTTATTCAATTTCATTTTATTTGTCAAATTTTGGCGAAATTTTGTGGATTGAATGCGAAAGGACTGTATCTGAGTTAGGAAGTTTCATGTCGCAGTCGAGCAATGATCGCTATTAAAAAAATGTGCAAAAAAGCATGATCAACGTGTAAAGCTGTTGTTTTACTAATATAAACTCATTGCCTTTTTTGCTTTTCTCATTGCCATCACCGTCATTGTTGCCTAAGCCCCATTTTCTTGTGATCCAAAAAAATTGCTACCATGGTAATGTGACGTCACATTTCTCCTCTCTACAGTATTTCTGTGCTCGTTCTCCAGACATCATTTCCCTGGGAAACTTTAATGGTAATGTCGCAAAATGTTGGCTAATTTCTCAGACTAGTATAAACCCATAAAATAATTTAATAATTTATCTTTCCCTCTTGCAATGCCTTTTGTACTCGACTAACAAAAAGCCTGCTTACGCGTCACATGTACAGTTACTAGACATTTCAGTCACAACTTGTTTTGTTTTGTTTTTGTTTTGTTTGTTTGTTTTTGAGTTCCTTTTTTTTGCATGCCATGAATAAGAATTGATCCATGATAGATGGCTTTATTGTATTTTTCCCAGGTCATGCCCTACTACAAACACTCAGTCTGTCATATATACACTTCAGATAAACAGCTATTAAAGTGTTTCTTTGGGAGCTGTATAAATTGATCAGTATAATATTCTATATTAATAATATTATACTGTACCTGGACCTTCATGTTTCTGAAACTTCTCAACAAGGCGTTTAGTCTCTTCATATTGTTCAGGAGTTAAAAGTGGTTTTTGGGCATCCAAATACCTGTTGCACGTATCTTCTAGTTTTGGAATTGGTAACCGTGGTAAGCTGTCTTGGAAGTGATATGTGTGAACTATGGTCTTTGGATCAATGTATTTATCTTCTACACCTGAACTGAGAAGAAGAAACATACCAAGATCAGCTTGGGTGTAGAAAAAGGTCAATTCCTTCATCAATTTGGCTATTGTCAGCTTTCCTAGCTACCACTTAGGGTTAATTTAGGCGCAGGGCGAAATTGAACCTTTCCTGTACTAAACCTGATTCCTTTATCTAAAAATAAATGAATTAAGGATTAAGGTTTGAAGCAATCTATGCCTGCAGCATATAATCTAATTTGGGTAATGAACCTTGAATTAAGTTTGCATGCACCACATGCCAATTGTCAAACTTTTCATCTAATGCATAAATTACTTTACTCTTTTGACTGGTAAGCAATTTACAAGTGATAATGAATTTAGTCTGACTAATTAAGTTCAATGTGTTCATCCGAATGAACAGACGAACTCAAATCGGTAACAAGTTTGGTACATGAAACGTTAGACATTTGAACTGGGCCTCACCTACCACTCTAGTTTTAGGTATCAAAAGTCCTGTAAGAAAGATTTGGTAACACGACTAGAAGCAAACTATATCTCATCTACTCTGATGTACATGAATGACCATTACTGGACAGTCTGGCTCAGTTGTTAGAGCCCTGGTTACAGCGTGCCCAGGAGTTCAGGGGTTTGTTTCCCAGAGTTTTGGCTGTTAACATGTTTATTTCAAGTCACTATATAAATGACTTGAGCATTCAAGTCAATAAATTAAAATTTGCATTGACCACACACAACTTTTTTGATCTTGAAAGAGGATATTCAGATGAAATACTGACCACATACCTGTAACATCTACGCTGGTTCCACCTTCCAGTCAGTGCAGATGGAAGGAAAAAGGAAGCAGGACCCTGAAAGATCAGAAAGTTATACAGTGAAACCTGTACTAACTAGACATTCTTGGGGAATACCCTAGTGTCTGCTTATAGGGTGTCTTCTGCCTAATTATACAGGTTTGGTAAGAGAACGTCATATGAGGAATCAGATACCATTCAAATGAACAGTGGAAGTATTAGGAATACTCCCAAAGAGTATGACAATATAAGTTTACACGGATTTCATTATCTGTGTAGACCGATAATCAAAATTTATATTTTATTTATTTACTTATTTACCAGCTTTTCTGGACTCAGGCCTGCCCAGAGGGAATGTGCACGAACGAGACTCAGGTCCCATGCGAGGTGCCATCCCTACTCAATCCCACAACCCATAAAGGTTGGCCACACCACCGGGGTCTATGACCCCTACTCCTTTCGAATTGTGATGTGGGTTCTTTTACGTCCCACAAGAACAAATCTATGAAAGTGCTGTGAGATGGGACCTATGGTTTTTCGTCCTTATCCGAGAAGACTAGAAAGTCTAACCATTTGCAGATGTCATTACAAAGGCAGCACTTTCTTCTCAGTTTTTTAATTTACAGACCCTGAGTGTTTGAACCCACGACCCTTCTGCTCGGCAGACCAGTGCTCTCCCAACTGAGCTAGCCAGGCGGTGGTTAGCACTTTAAAGAAAGATTGTACCTCAGTTTAAGAGATCAAATGAGCAAAACAAGCTCTATACAAACAAAACAAAACAAAAACACTGTAAATCTGATCAAAAGGTTAATGAAGGCTGTCAGTACACATTGTAAGAAGGTGAGTTATTTTCTTGTAATTATTTGAACGATAAACTGACCAACTAGGGGTTTATTGTTATGTATACCAGCTTTTAAAGCTTCACATGCGTGCAGGTATACGTGTATTTCGAGTTTCTTTTTTCCTTGAGTATTCAGTGATGTTAACGCATCTTTTGTCAAGTATGATCTTAATTAATTGATGATCATAAAATTGGCAAATTGTGGGTGGAAATCTTTAGAATTTTAGGGGGAATTTTGGATGGTGGAATCACACGTGTCAGTTAATACAGGTTTTTATTATATGGCTACAATAGTATGCATGCTCTAATTGGCTGCTAAAGTGGGCAGTATTTTCTTGTAATGACTGGGCATTTACTACATGTAGCTAGGTGTCCAAGGCATATACAACCTGTGTTTAACTTGATAGTGGACATGCATCCTTGTGGACATCCATGTTGTGGTCAACTGACAGCAGTCAAACACCACTGACCAGTATCACATGACTGTATCGCAGGCCCAAATGTACAACTCATTGAGGTGACGTGTTTTTTTTTAAGTTAATTTAAGTTATCCACTGACCAGTTATTTTTTAATTGATCAAAGGCTCAGGTCCATAATGATTAATAGAGGCATCAGCTTAATAAAGGTTCCATTTACAGTAAATAAATGGAAATAAATTTGTCGCCTCGGGTTACCTTCTGCTTAAAAGATTTTGTCAGCTTAATACAGTGTTTGCTTAATACAGGTTTCACTGTAATCTGTTTCTATGGAACTTTCAGTGACAATATGATATGATCAGTTTTACTTGTAGCACGAACTGAGGGCCATTCCATATCCACAAACTCATCCCTGCCGACTGTCACCCCCACCCCATTAATGAGATGATTTTTACCTTGAGCCCCTTCGGAGAATTTATTCCCAGAGTTAACCCCATACAGAAATTAACATTTATTCTTTCCAGTAAACCCTTAGAAACAGCATTAGTTTTAATAGATGCATGACAGAAAATGTGGCAACATTATTTGCCGCTGTCAGAAAAGAGCGTTTTCAATCCTCGGTTTCCAGACACTGTCAGTGTAAAACACAGACTACGGACCGCAGACTGCAGACTGCAGACTGCAGACCAGGGATAAAATGCAGCGTAGTTACTAAAGCATGGAACAACCTAAAACCACCTAAAACCATCTACAACCACCTAAAACCACCTACAACCACCTCAAAAAATTCAACAACCCCCTACAACCATCTACAACCACCTCAAAAACATCTACAACCACTCGCAAACAATCTAAAACCATCTAAAACAGGGTATAAATGTCTGAAATAGTTTCCGTAGTCCAGCAGAGTCCTTTAGTCTAGTGTGAACGTGTCTCACTTGTAGAGCCTGATTTTATACAGCTATTAACCCGTTTACAGTTGCAAGAATTAGAAAACATCATATAATGATATTTTGATAATTCTTTTCAGCAAAATTAATCAAAACGTTCTTACCAGTAACATGCCTTGGCAGGGAGGGAAGACCCGAATATGTGTTCCAAATTTTTCGTTCCGTTTTAGCTCGTAAAGTTCCAGCTACTCTAGCCTGTGCCAGGCTCTCAGATAGTATAGTGGGGACGTATTTACAATGAGCAAAGCAAAAATAAGAAGAGGGCCGAAAGTTGGGTTCCAAAACATAATAAAGGTATATAAAAATCCAGGTAAATTACTTTAAATACAATCATACACTATTAAAATTTTTCAACCCATTTTTATTAATTTCGGCTCGTCTTAACTTGTTTTCTTCTGAATCCATCGCATTATAGATTTTTTTAAATAACTTTTTTAACAATGATTACACCTACTAGTCTCTGTTTCCTGTGTCGTGACGCAAGGGGGTTTAGCCTTGCGTGATGACACAGGAAACGGGTGTGAAAGACACTAGGGTTCATTTAAAGGAGTCACCTGGAATGTACAAACATGTTTGGCGGATGAGATGCTAAAAAAATTAACTCGTTCTTAGGAATTGTAATCCTAATCGATTCTCGTATTTCATGTTCGTGACATGTTGTCGTCTTGCCTTATTTCAGACATTTATACCTTGTTTTAGATTGTTTGCGAGTGTTGGTATATGTTTTTGAGGTGGTTGTAGATGGTTGTAGGTGGTTGTTGAATTTTTTGAGGTGGTTGTAGGTGGTTGTAGATGGTTTTAGATGGTTTTAGGTCGTTCCATGTTTTAGTAACTACGTAAAATGCAGACTGAGTGTAAAATGCAGACTACAGACTGAGAGTAAAACGCAGGCTGGGTGCAAAATGCAGAGTAAAGACTGTAGACTTTTTTAAACATTCGTGCTCCTTCTTCTCCAAATCGGTGAAATAGCTAGCCGGTATCAGTTACACACTGCGCTTCCTAGTCGAAGTGCATTTCACATTCGCCAGAAGTTTCAATGAACATCGCAACAGCTTTAAAGTCTGTGTACCTCGATTTGCAATACTTTCAAGGAAGGTCATCCAAATTTCCTGCTGAACATCATTCTTTGTTGTTGGAATGATTATTATCCCTTTTTTATCACTATAATTCTTCCTGTACGGTATTTTGGGTCAGCAGCTTTCATTTAAGCGTAAACATTGTGGTGTTGTACAAATTTACGGTCCCTGGTCACGTATATCAAAAACTTCGCGTCTAAAGTTGAAGCATGAGGTCTCTCGCACGGAAAAAAAGGTTCAAGATTGCAATTATGTTTTTGGGTCATTGACGATGTTTCAGAGAAGAAAGGAATGGATTTGTGCATGTGAAAGCAGAGGTCGTCAAGTAAGTGTTCGTTTACATGTATTTGTGGGATTTTTTTGCCCTTAAACCCTTCCATGACTACAGTTTATGCTTGGTCTGCACTTTACCCCATCCTGCGTTTTACTCTCAGTCTGCAGTCTGCATTTTACACACAGTCTGCATACCCCTAGTCCACAGTCTGCAGTCCACAGTCCATTACACTGACTGTTTCCAAACATTACTTAATATGTTTTACAGCAACTCTTCCTCAGAAAAGATACACCAACTGCAGCTATCATGATAAGCAGGGTGTCCGGAAAAGTAAGACACACTAGCTACATCCGATCCACCATCCCAAGATCGATGATCCAACCTTCCATTTATCTCTTCCTCAATTCATTCTTGGTATTTTCCCCCTTCAGAAACGGACATTTCGGATAAAAACTCCCTTCAGAAAAACCTCCTTCCAAGAAATCACCCCCTCAAAAAATTATCTCAAAGAATGGAATGGCTCTAAAAGCATCAAAGAAATGAAATAAACTAACTACTAGTCAATACAAACCTTAAGACCACTTCTAGTTGCTATTCCATTGCAAAAAACGGCCTTAGAAATGTTCATCATTTACTTTTCATTCACGGTTCCAGGATAACCCGGCCGGTTAAAAATTCTGTATATATATATATATCTTCAGATCTTGTATCTTGGTTTAGCATAAATTTCCGAAAGAAATTATAGATAAACAGTCTAGCGGTACAGCGGATTTAACCATTGTGGGGATAATCTTCAAATACTGGGTAACCAGGGGCACAGGCACCATGGTACATGTAATAGGTCGTTAAAATCCATGTTATCATAATCTATGTTACGCTTTTTTGCTTCGTCTCCCGCTCTCCCGCTTTAGTACATAAATCTCCCGCTTTTTACGTCCACTGTAAATATTGAATACTTAGTAAAAAATTAAACAGACTTAGTTTGAGATTTAGCCCATTTTTAGCTCAAAACTTGAATTTGTCTTATTCGCAGTACGGTTTCTGGGGCATTTTTGCACGTATGTAGTCATTGACAAAGATTATTTCTAGCATCAATGATTTCGAATTTTGATAGTATGTACATCATGTAAGACGTCATATAATGTCCTAAGTCATTCCCATTGGGGGCTGGGTCAATTTTCCGGGGGGTAGTGAAAAAAAGACAGTCTCCCGATTTTAGGTCTCCAGAGGTTGGCGTCTGTGATGTTATGATAATTTTGATGGAAATTCAGAATTAGCGCTTATCATTATTCTGGTCTTAAGATCTTTTTTAGCTTGTGAACAGGCCCGCTGGTGGAGAAAGGGTGAAAACGTCAATTTAAGGCTAGATAAGATCAGATAACATCAAAACTTATGATCAATGAAATTGAGAATTTGTTCATGCTTAGCGTACGTGCCCTGTGAATGTCTTTCGGCCAAAATTTGCTGCAGCTGGTCTTCCAACAAATTTGCGAAACGCGCAACTTGCGAGTTTTTTTTGGCTTTATTTTTGCTGCTTGTTGGATCAGGACCTAAAAGATCAACGCGGATAGAAAAATTGGGCAGTTCTTTACTGGTTTCTTCCACTGCACTGCAGCTTAACAGGACGGCAACTCTGCAGCCAGGTAAAAAAAATGCCCATGTCATCTTATTTACGTATGGGCGTGCGTAAATAAAGATTTTGTCCACAGGACTAATATAGGGCAAGCACGCGCGCTATGTTATAATAAACAATGAAATGGGGCTAATATAATACGATTTTCTGGGAAAAGGCGCGCACGCCTGAACGGAATATTTCGACAAAGAGCGCTTTTGTTTTCTTCAATTGTTCCAGCGTTTCATTTTCGTTCTTGGTCGTGAGCTCCCACAGCTTTATTCTTCCTGTTTATGGAATTGTGGCCATTGATCCAGACGTTACAGAATAATCAAATCATGTATCAGGAGTTTCACTGCTTCACTTCCGGGAATAATTTCACGGCAAGACCACATGTGGAAAGTGAAAGTGAGCTGTCAACAGGCACCAGGTTCCTAGAACACAATCACTGACTTTATCCTTCTGCTGAAAACATAGTTGTCCTTTAACCCCTGCAACATTGTCAGAAAAAGATCTATTTTTGGAATCAACCTGGAAAGCGTATAAATACTCGTTCTCTGTAAGAAGGATCGTCGTGCGGTCTTCTCTCCGAGTTGGAGGTCCAAACTCACAGGCTACTGGCGGTACTGAGGTGACTTGTAAGTATAAACATGTCAAACATTGAAGGTCTTGTTCTGTTCATATGAATTTATAGTATTATCCCCGCTGTAGTGGCCTCCGAAAATGTTAAGTTAAGCCCTGAGTGGCCCTGGTGAAATGTTGGAAAACTTTCTTTAAAATTTCTGTTGAGGGACAGTGTTGTTTCCACCATGTAAAAGAGGTCTTTAGTTTCGGCAAGTGAAAAATCAGTTCATACTGTGAGTGGCGGCTTATCTCGACTGCAGGCAAACGCAAACCCGTGAAACTTGTTTCCCACTCATTCTCTGTTAGCAGAGCAAGCGAATCCGCACAAGAGATTATTTTTTGATACAAAAAAAATGGAGAGAAATATTTGGCCCTATAATATATTAATTAGCCTTTATTTTCTGAGAAAAAAATCTTTGTCGCTTTTATAGTAAAAGTAA